TGCACTCCAGTCTGGGTGACAGAGTGAGACTCCAACTCAAAAAAAAAAAAAAGACTTAAAAATGAAGGTGGAGGTTCTGCTGCTTTTTTTTGAACAGTGAAGGCACATCTTCTGGGTGTGAGTTCAAGGAGTCCAAAAGGAATTCTTTCATTTTTAGCATACAAGTCCACAAGGATATGGTGGAAAAAAAGAGTGCAGTGTATTTCCTCACTGTGTTCTGGGGTAAATCCTATCTGTATTATTATTATTATTATTATTATTATTATTATTATTATTATTATTTTTTAGTTGGAGTCTCAATCTGTCTCCCAGGCTGGAGTGCAGTGGCACACTCACGGCCACTCCAGTGTCCACTGGGGCCCCAGCTATCCTTCCGCCTCTGCCTTCCAAGTAGCCAGAACTTCAGGCGCTGGTTACTACACCTGGTTAACTTTTTTGTTTAGTGTAGAGATGAGGTCTCCCCAAGTTGCCCAGGCTCGTCTTGAACCCGTGGGCTCAGTCAGTCCACTCGCCTCAGCCTCCTAAAGTGCTGGCATTACAGGCTAAGCCACCAAGCCTGGCCTATTATTATTATTATTTTGAGTTGGGGGTCTCACTGTGCTGCTCAGGCTGAAGTGCAGTGACGCAATCATGGCTGCTGTATCCTAGACCTTCTGGACTCAGATGATCCTTCTGCCTCAGCCTCCTGAGTAACTGGGACTGTAGGTGTGCTCCTTCATGTCCCGATAATTTTTTTTTTATTTTTTGTGGTGGCACAGACTCCCTATGTTGCCCAGGCTGTTCTCAAACCCCTGGGCTCAGGCAGTCTTCCTCTGCCTTGGCCTTCCAAAGTGCTGGGATTACAGGCTTGAGCCACAGCACCTGGCATACCTTATTTTAAAAACACCTTTAAGCCGGCTCGGTGGCTCAGCTTGTAATCCCGCGCCTTTAGGAGGCTGAGGTGAATGGATTGCCTGAGCCCGCGGGTTTGAGACCCACCTGGGCAACTTGGCAAGACCTCATCTCCACAGTAAATCAAAAAATTATTAGCCGGGCATGGTAGCGCACGCCTGTAGTTCCAGCTACTTGGAAGGCTGAGGTGGAAGGATCGCTGGAGCCCAGCAGGTTGAGGCTGCGGTGACCGGGAGCGGCCACTGCACTCCAGTCTGGGCGACAGAGTGAGACTCCTACTCAAAAAAACAAAAACAAACAAACAAAACACACCTTTACACTTACTGGGACAGACAGACAAACCAGTAGTCCCCAAATTTGACTATTAGAATAATTAGAAGAGCTTTTTTTTTTTTGAGTCAGAGTCTTACTCTGTCACTCAGGCTGAAGGACACACGGCCACTGCAGTCTAAACCTGCTGGGCTCAGGCGACCCTTCCTCTTCAGCCTTCCAAGTAGCTGGAACCACGGGCATGTGCCATCATGTCTGGCTAATTTTTTAATTTATTGTAGAGATGAGGTCTCGCCAAGTTGTTCAGGCTGGTTTCGAACCCATGGGTTCAGGTATCCTCTTACCTCAGCCTCCCAAAGTGCCGGGATTATAGGTATAAGCCACAGTGCTCCACCAGAAGAGTTTTTTTTTTTGTTTTTTTTTTGAGTTGGAGTCTCACTCTGTCACCCAGGCTGGAGTGTAAGTGGCACACTCCCAGCCACTGCAGCCTCGACCTGCTGGGCTCAGGCGATCCTTCCGCCTCAGCCTTCCAAGTAG